ACCCCCCACTCACAGGCTCTCTCCTTCTCTCTCTCTCTCTCTCTACTCATCTCTCTCTCTCTCTCTCTCTCTCTCTCTCTACTTTCTTTCTCTCTCTCTCTCTCTCTCTCGCGCGCGCGCTCTCTCTCTCTCTCTCTTCTCCATATCGCTCTCTCTTTGCTCTCTCTTTACTTTTTTTTCTCTTTCTCTTTCTCTCTCTCTTTCACCCCTCTCGCTCTCTCTCTCGCTTTTCTCTTTTCTTTCTCTCTTCGTTTCCTTCGTTTTATCTCTCTCCTCGCTCTCTCTTTCCCATCTTGCGCTCTCTTGCGCTCTCCCTAGCTCTCTCTCTTTCTCTCGCGCCGCTCTCTCTCTTTCTCTCGCGCGCTCTCTTCTCTCTCTTCTCGCTCTCTCTCTCGTCTCTCTCTCTCGCTTTTACCCCCTTCTTTTTCTCTGGCTCTCTCTCTCTCTCTCTCTCTCTCTCTTTCTCCCTCTCGCTCTCTCTATTGCCTCTCTCTTTTTTCACCCTCTCTCTTTCTCTTTTTGCGTTCTCTTTCGCTCATGAAGTGCGCTATTCAGTCGCTAGCTTTCTGTCGTCCGCTAGGCCACGTAATGCATTCACGCTGTCGAATATTAGTTGACGCCAGAAGGCCCAATGAACGCGCCGAGCGCAGTCACTTACAACTCACCACCACACACACATCTATATATATATTATATACATTCGTATATCGCGCAAGCGAACAGGTTTTCGCCGACGAATTTCTAAGTGCTAGCGCAGCCATTATTCGGTTTCGATCTCCTGACTTGCTTCTCCCCGTCAGCTCCCCCTCTCCTCGCCGCCCGCCTCTCTCCTCCTATTATCCATCCTCGCCAGCATTCTCTCTCGCTCTATCCCTCGCCCCCTCTCTCTTCCTCTAGAGACTGAAAGCTCGCTCGACTCAATCGGAACGTGCCGCACAAATGCGGGAAATTTGACACAAAAGATTTTCTCCTTATTCGAACCGACCTGCTCGCTCACTCCCACCATCTTGCGCATGGATTCCTCATGCTCGCAATTCATTTCAACTTTTTTTTTCTTTTCACGTGGTGCGGACGGAAATGCATTACTTACGACGAGCCCGATTGCATATCGAGTTTCATGAAACTTGGCAAAATGGCGACGACGTGAAAGATCCATGCGGCTGATCGACGCGCGTGCTCGCGTGTATTAAATTCTTATTTTTAGTTAATTTCTTTTTTATTTTATTCGGTTCGTTCCTAGACGGAAAAGTCTAGCGATTAGAGAGAGCATGAGTTCTGAACGCGAGCGTGTCAAGGGGAGACGTAATAATTAACGTCAGTTAAGCGTAAATTAACTGAAGTTAGTTCAAGCTACTTAGAGCGTTGAAATTCCGGAAAAGCAAGCGTATATGAATTCCTGTATAGATTGTTTGCATGAAGCGAATATTGAAAATCGCAATTTCTAAATCGCTGAACCTCAATATTAAAAATCGCAAATCCCAATTTTCTATATATACTTCTTTGGCATTGTTGTTGCTGCTGTTATTATTTGTTACGTTGTTCTTGCTCTTTTTCTTGTTATTGTTTTTATTCTTCTTCTTCATCGTTGTCTTTGTCTTTTTTCCCGTTTCATTGTCTTATTATTATTTCTGTTCGCCTTCAGCTTTCTTTGAATGTGGTCTCCTTACTTCATTTCTTCCTTTTATTCTCTTCTTCTTCTTCTTCTTCTTCTTCCGCTTTTTTTTCTGCCGTCGTTTTCATCCCTCATTTCCCTTCTTTTCGTCTTCCCCCTCTTCTTCTCCTTCTTTGACGTCTTCCTATATTCCTCTTGTTCTTCTCAATGGAGTCTAAATTACGCGCAAAGTCAATAGGATTGCGGCGGCAGCTCGCCCGCGAGGGGAGATTATGGCCAGCTCAGCGAATGCCTGCTCGGAATCTCCCGCACTCCGATATGTGCCAACAGATACCCTCCACCGCTTCCATTATCCGGACTAGCGCGCACACAGAGAGAGAGAGAGAGAGAGAGAGAGAGAGAGAGATAGAGAGAGAGAAAAAAAAAAGAGAGAATTACGCGATAATGGTTACTAATTATGCTCTGTAATCTTATTTTACATTATTCATTGATATCATAACCGTATCATTGATATCACTTTCCCTGTTTTCTGGTCGAATTTTTCTCAGCTTCTCTGGATACGTTTACCAAATGACAAAGAACACACAAAAGACAACGTCACACTACCTTTGTCGGACTTAGCGTCTGACGTCATCGTTCCGTGCGTTGACGACTCGGGCGAGTTGTTGTCGCGTGGCGACGACGACTTCGGCGCCTCCGCTCTCGGCTCGTGCTCGACGAATCCCGCGAAGCGACGCTCGGGTATCGTCGGCATGAACACGTGACCCGCGTACGTCACGTCGGGCGTCAGACCAATCGGAGGACTGTACTGGCTGAAGGGGGCGTAGTCGAGGCGCTGGTGGCGGGGGAGTAGAGTCGGGTGCGTGCTGTCGGCCATCGTGCGGTCGGCGCTGAGCTTGACTCCCTGCGGACTCGCCTCGCGCTTGTATTGGTAGCAGCGCGGCGCTCGCTCGTGCTGAACTGCTATATGAGAGAAAGAGAGAAGCGTGGCGCGACATGTATTTCCCTTCGTCTGCTCGGTGGTGTACGAGAGGTGTTGTTGTTGATGATTCCCCACCTCCACCCTCTCTCTCGCTCTCTCTTTATTTCTCGCTCTTTCTTTCTCTCGATCTCTTGGTATACGTGCTTGTGCGTCTGTATCGTGATCCCCTGACCATACTTGGAATATCGTGTTCCAAACAAGTATACCCGTGCATATACGCTTTCGCATTTGGGACATGCAATGTAATAGCGTACTTCCTACTCGCGGCCAGGTATATCTATCACGTTGTTGTTACGCCCTACATAAGTCATCATCACGCGCACTCGTACACTTGCAGACGCCGACTACACCGTTGCAAACACTCGCCCGCCTCCCGCCGGCGGCAACGAGGTATTCAATCCGCCACCAGACCGCGCCGCGCCGCCGCCCCACCGCGCAACGCAGCTCTCCGCGTCGGTCCGGCGTCCGGTCGCTAGACGGAGCTACCTGTTCCGCGAGCCGTCGTCGCCGTCGTCGCACCGCGTCTACCCTAGCGGCGACGCGGTGTTCACGATCGAGGCAGGGCGCGTGGACCGACGACGCGCCTCGCCCGCCTTCGTCGCCGACGTCGCCGCGTCGCCGCGCGTCGTCGGCTCACCCGCCCGCCGCGTCGTCCTCGACTCGACGACGACCAGCGCCGACGTGCACGCGCCGCAGAGGGCGCTGCAGTCGTCGACGACCGTAGCGACGCCTGGCGGACCGGATAAGCCGAGAGTCGTCGTCGTGCATAAGTCGGCGACTGACCCGGAGTTGCGCGCCGCGAGTACATCGGCTGCCACAGATGGCGCCAGGTGCGCCAGCGCGCCGCAGAGAGAACGCGCGCGCGCCTCCTCGAATAGGTCCGATAGAGGGCGCGCGCAGCGAGCGAGCCGCAAAAGCGGCAAGACTGTCGATAAATTACTTGTTGGTAATCCAGAGGGCGCCATTGATCAGCAAGGAATTCCTGGTTTGGACGCACAAGCACAAAATCTCTTCTTGATTAAGAACAAAAGGTATTTGTATGTTAGTTTACAGGGTACTATTCATATGTTGATTAAACTATATTAGTAACTGTATATAGTATGTAACTATAACTATAGTAAACTGTATTTCTGTCTAATTAAGTGGGTGCTAGTTAATTGGCATCGAGGCAGCTACACTAGAAAAATTGTAAACTCGTTTTAACTTTTGATAAAACCCTATATTTTATTACATATGGAACGTGACATCATTAGCACGCAAATTATGAGAAGTAGCTCTAAATCTTGTTCGCGGTGTGTTGTGTTGGTCTATAAACCTCACTCACAAGTTTCAGGTTCGGCGAGCCAGTCAGTCAAACAGACGGAAAGAACGAAGAGAGATATTGAAGATTCGAGCATCAATGCGATACACACTAGATCCGTCCAATTCCGCTTCCGGTTTGTTAATAAAGAACTGCTCGCGATGCTTTAGGTTTCGCCTCTGTCTGTCTGTCTCTCCCTCTCTCTCTTTCTCTCTTTCTCTCTCTCGCTCTCTTTCCGCTCTCTTCGCTCACCCTCCTCTCTCTCTCTCTCGCTCTCACTCCGCTCTCGTCGCTCACCCTCCTCTCTCTCTCGCTCTCTCTCCTCTCTCTTCACTCACCCTCCCCTCTCTCTCTCTCTCTCGCAATCTCTCCGCTCTCTTCGCTCACCCTCCTCTCTCTCTCGCAATCTCTTTTTCTCTTTCTCCCCTCTATGTTTTTCTCTTCTTTTCTCCTCTATCTTCCCCTCTCTGTGTTTCTCTCTCTCCCTCTCCCCTCTCTCATTCTCTCCGACCTCCTCTCTCTCTCTCTCTCTTTCTCTTTTTTTCTATCTCACTCTCTCTCTCTCTCTCTCTCCTTTCTAGCATTACATCGCGTTATCGCATTGAGTAGTCAATGCGATCGGATTACTCGTGGTCACTTGTGTGATACCGCTACGCTATCGTCTATAAGAAGCGTGAAATAATTTAAAGCAATAATTCATTATATCAAATACTCATTATAAACCATTAATATGTAATGATTATGTTCATAATTATATAGTAATAAATAATTGCATGTGAATTGTGTATTGAGAGTTTGTTACATTCGGCGTGGTATGCGTGTTTATACGTTTGACATCGTGCCACTCGAATATTGTCATTCAGAGTGTAGCTAGCATTCTAACATGTCAAGAAAGCAACGTCATTGTGACGTATAGTGACCACCATTAAAGTGCTGGTCTCCACAAGTTTGCAAGCAGAAATGCGAGAAGATTCTATTGACAGACGCGCACACGTAACTCGCTTTAGTAGGAAAAAAAAACAGAATTTCAGATAAGAAAGTTAAATCCTTGATAAATTAAGTTGCGTTTCAAATACATCGCTGTTTATTATTCATGTACATATATTTATTAATAAACAAACAACTCACCGTGGTGAACATTGTATATATACAAAACATCAGACAACGAAATGTGTTTTTATTACTTGTATATTTTGTTTTCGTGCTAGTAAGAACCTGGCGTAGAAAATCTCATTTCTCTCTCTACTTTGACAATACGTGTTTTTCGAGCTTTCGACATATATTTCGCAGTTCTAAACATGAAGATATCTTTTGTTATGCCTGTAGGCAACGGGGTTGCTATATCTATGCAGCACCAAATTTGAACAGCTACTAAGTTTTGATGCTTTCTTTTAATCCATTCACCGTACATCTTTACTGAAACTGAACTCTCTCTCGAGTGAACACTACAAAGAACGGGACAAAGAAGAAAATCTAATAGAAACCAGTATAAATACCAGCAATACCCGATCACGGAACACGCATTGGTGACTATTCGCACGAACGGCAATGTCGGTATGTTTCATTTTATACCAGACTACCATATAACAGTCATCATGACAAATTTACAACACCGCAGTTAAGTACGAATACGTATATAATATAAGTTAGATATGAACAAACTGTATATAATATGGGCTCACAACGTCGCTTGTAGGATTCACAGTTCTATTCGATACGTTCTTTAATTTTCCTAAATTGCTCACTTAAAGCGTAAACCAAATATACAAGCATAGCACGGACGATTCACAAGTTCAATAAATAAATATTTACCGCTATTTACAATTATGGTCTAATATGCGTCCCTCCGCACGCATCTCATATATTATTTCTGAGTGATTGTTTGATTTGCTTCAAATAAAAATTCATATCTGTATATGTAGACGCGACAGCGCGTGGGTACGCGCGCGTATACGCGTGCAGAAAGCATGCGGGTATGCACGAGTGCGCGCATGCGTGCACATGCGCGCGTACGTGCGTGTGTGCGTGTACGAATCCGAATCCGCGGTTACTATAGTAGCGTTTGAAGCAAAGTCATGACCAGATAGATATACACGCCTCACATACAGGCCCTCTTACTCAGTAAGCGTGTTGCAAATGCATACAACGGAAGCCAAAACGCAAGCACGCGCATCATTCCCTCCCGCGCACCAACATTTCCTAGCCACCCGCTACCTCCTCAGCCGCCTCTCACGTTAATTTAAGCCACGATCAAAGCGGAATACGTAGATTTCCTATTCGAGGGAGATGGACATGAGAGAGTTTCCTATCCTTCCCCCAGCGAAGACAATCAAACGCGCATTTCCTCGTACGCTCCCCCGACACCCTCCCCCCCGTCACGGTTTTTGATTCATCGTCGAACCCGTTA